AATAGAGATAGCAAGGTGGGGGGAATGACTAATCAACTAGCCTGTCAATTATCTGATAAGCATTTGCTTATTGGGTAGTCAACTAGTCCTTCACATCCCTATACAGATGCTTATGGAATATCTGCAAGTATGAGGTATAATCCCAGTGTTTTGGTTAAGTACAGTAAACTTCCGATAATCCGGCACCTTTAGGACCCAGGGGGTGCCGGATTATGAGGTATGCCGGACTATCAGAAGGGGGGGAACTATGAGGAGTCTGGGGTGGAGTGGGGGGGCTGATAGTCCGGCACCACCTGGAACCTGGAAGTGCTCCAGGCAGCCAGACAATTGGAGCTGCTCTGCCCCAGGCTTCCCGGAGTCAGCTGCTGGTCAGTTTCAGCAGCGGCTGAATCCGGGAAGCCGGGGGCAGAGCAGCTCCAATTGTCCGGCTGCCCAGAGCACTTCCGGGTTCCAGATGGTGCCGGACCATTGGATGCCAGACCACTGGAGTTTTACTGTACTGGGTTTTGTAATTATTTGGTCTGCTGAAATTGGCTTCTCCAGTTTTGATCAGATGTGCTTAGGATTGCAAATTCAGGCAGCCAGAAAAGGAAAGTAAACACTGCTGCTGGCTCTTTCCACAAAGCCACATTCCTTTTACTAAGGCATAGCACTTTCTAAATCCCAGAATTTAGTTCTTCTCTTGGCAGCTGGGTAAAGGAGATTACTTCACTTCTCTTCCCTCTTGGTTATTGGCAAGACAGATTTGCATTCTTAAAATCTCTAGTTAAGTGAAGTACAATAGGATTGCCAATACAGCTGTAGGTTTTGTGGGGATTTTGGCCTCTTTGCTTTTGAAACGACATCTTCACTATCACTTTGACATATTTTGAGTAAATGTAATATTAAATTATAATTGCAAGTTTAATTCTTGGTGTGGCATTAGAAGCATCAGGAACACACACTATAATTCCATTTAAAATAGTAGCCTTTAACAGTTCTAGGGGCAAATAATTCCTTATTTCTTGTTTGCTGGTTGGGTTGGGAATATAATGGAGTTGCACATTTGAGCCTTCTGGAGGTAGTGAATGTCTGGTGTTGTTGTAGTTTTATTATCATGCTCATTGATTTATGGCCTTATCCTGCACACATCAAAGACAGTGACAAAACTTCCATTCATTTGTTGGAGCATGACTGAGTTCTTGAACTCTGTTGTTTCTGCTTAGCCAGAATAATAATAGGTGGTTGAAGCTGCAGATGCAAATCGAGTGTCAGGAGCAAAGTTTAGTATAACTGCCAAGGTGAATAAAAACCTAATGTCCTTAATTTTTTTTCTAAAGCTTGGCAAATAATAAAGTGGTTATAAATTTCAGTCTTGAATAAAGGGGTTTTATTTGTGACTGTTTCCCTTTTTGTCCTCAAACAGAAAAAATGTCCCTGAGAGAGAATTCTGTTAATGCACAGTTAAGGGACAAAGAGGTTTTTAGTGTCCTTCAGAAACACTGAGTTCAGTAAAATCCAGATTTCTGAAAACCAAGAAATATAGTGTTAGGTGTAGCTGTATTTAATGGTGCTCCTTGACAGAACCGTGAGATTTGTGTCAGACTGTGTTAGGATGGCCACTGGAATTCAATATGCTAAACTTAAGGATGCTATAATATCTCTTGTCAAAGCATATTTTACATATTTTGTATTAATTTCAGTTTTAATGTTTAAACTGGTTTATTTTTAAAAAGTAGTGCAATAAGTCAATTTTTATTTTAACAGAATCTTTGACTTTTATGCTCTCTTGTAGGTTGTTAGTGTCAGGGCATAGGGAACTTCTTGCCATGGGAATAGTCAGCAGTTAGGTGAGAGGCTGAACATGGTCAGTGGGTTTGATGAAGGTTAAGTGAAAGTATAGTATTAGATGCAAATCTTTCTATATATTTTAGAAACTTAGATCTGTCTGTCTCGGTCCATCAGTCTGTGAGTCCATTTGTTCAAGAACAACTCATAAACAGTAAGAGCTAGAAATACCAAATTTAGTTAGAGAAAGCTGCATGCCATAACTTAAAGCAAGGTAAGACAAAGGAATGTGCCTGAAATTTTCTCATAAAATGGGAACGTGAGGGGGTCTGATGGGGGGACATTTATACTGTAGAATGACTAGAGGGGGCAGCAAGGGGCCAGAGATGGGGATTGGGACAGCTAAAACCCCGTCCAGCAGAGTTTGTTTGTGTGTCTGTCAGTCCCCCAGCCAGGGGACATGCAGCAGCCATGGGCAGATGCTTCTCACTGTGATGAGATGCTGTGATGAGAGAATGCTGGGGTTGTTCTCTCTCTGTGGGGTAATCTGTCTACTGAATAGGGATGTAAAATCCTATTTAATTGGTGTCTAGAGCAGCCCCTGCCTCTGTGTTCCCTCCTTCCCCCACCCCGGCCCACCCGCTGCAGGCATTCACAACAACTCCTGCTTGCAATGTGCTGGGCCAACTGCAGACAGGGACAGCTCCAGACACCACAGTGGGTAGGAAGCCACTCCAGCCCCTACTGATTAACTGTAACCAGTAAAGGTGATGCTCACCGGTTAACCTGTCACATCCCTAGTACTGAATCCCTCACCCCAGAGCTAGGGATGTAAGCGACTTCTCCAAAGAGGGGGAACCAGGAGCCAGTGCTGGGGGAGCCCTCTTAAAAGCTGGTTCCCCCCTGCTCGGTCTGTGTGGTGTGGAGCAGGTGGGCAGGGGAGGCAGAGGCACAGCATCTGGGACCTGGCACAAGCCAGGACTACTCAGTCCTGGCTAGCGCTGTGTCCCGGACCTACCCTCACTGCAGCTCTGCCTTTTAAATGTAGTAAGAGCTGGGCGGCTCTTACTACATTTAAAGTGCAGAGACACAGCGGTCCAGGATCTGGAGAGATCTGGGTCTGGGATCTACCCCCACTGCGGCTCTCCAGTTCAAATGGCTGCAGCTCTGTAGTTTAAAGGTTGCCTGTGCACCCAGTTCCTACTCCATTTAAATTGCAGAGCTGCAGCTGGGCCCCTTATCAACTAATCGTGTAGTTGATACAAATTGTATTTACTACACAATTAGTCAGTTACCCACTTCTTAGCACACTTACCCAGAACAGTGATTTAAATGAAGAAAACCAAAACTTGTTGGGAGTTAAGGACTCAAGCAAATCTGGGTAAATCTTTTAGTGTACCTATAAAGGTGAAAGTGTTACAAAATTTAACAAATCTGATGTTTTCTGTGAAGTAGGCTAAGCGTTTGAGTGTAGGGCAAGTATTAGTAGCTCTTGTTCATTACACTGTAAAAGTGGTATGTGTAACACACACATACATATATAGCTAAACGGGTATATTGGGGCATCCTTCAGAGGGCAGTTAAAAACATGTACCTTAACTCTTTATTTCCTTCTTTCCGGAAGTTTGAGTTTACTGAACTTGAGTTGCTGGAATGGCATGAGATATCATGGGGCAAGGTTAACAAAGTCCTTTGTTGTAGAATTTCTTAGGTTGTTTGTTTAAGAAAAAAACAGAAAAATGTTGGCAGGAGTTAGTGGTCATTTATGCGGTTATAATGTAAGTGCATAGCTGAAATGCTTCTGTGGCCAGGCAATAATACTACCTAGATCTTACATATCACTTTTCATCAGTAGATCTCAAAGAACTTTACCAAGGAGGAAAATCTGATTATCTCCATTGTACATGTGGGGAAATGAATACACCACAGTGAAGTTTCTTGGGCAATATGAGCTAATTCTATGTGAGTGGCAAAAATTAGAACCCAGGCTTTCTGAATTCCAGTCCATTGTTGTCCGGATAGTCCCCATGGTTGCTATGTGATTCCTCAGTGCCCTAACCTCCACACACTTTGTTATAGTGGAATGGGGATAATGATTGTACTTCAAAATGTTTGGGATGTATGCTAAATGGGCCAGTCACAGAAATATGACATGATTTATAGCATAAAAATCGTGATTATATGCTAGTTACGGTGTCTTCAAGTATGTAAGAGAAGATTGGTGTGTGTTTCCATCCTCTCCCTCATTGCCTGCAAAGCATATCAATGTCCCCACCATTTGTAGCTTACCCTCCCTTTTGCTGAACCATAGGCCAGGTGTGTACAAAAAAAATCTTAATTTGGCAGGCAGCTCCATGGGAGAGGGTATGTGGTGCTACTGTTGTGCCGTGTGTTTGGAGTTTACAGCCGCACCTCCTAGAGCATCTCCTTTGGTGGTGCAGTGAGCTGAGGCTGCAGGGGAAGGGGGACTGGACGGGAGGAACTGGGGGCTAGAGGCCCCCCCGCCCCGGTGAGAGCATGGGGGCTGTATAAAAGGGTCAACCTGTGGGCCCTCCTCTGATTTAATCCTTAGGTCTACTCAAAAAGAGCTGATTGAATGAGTCAGCTTTACAAAAAGACTTGAGGTGGACTATATGTCAGAACCCCCCCCAAATTTGGATTACTAACCCTAAACCCAGGCCCCTCGGAAGCATACCAAGTTGCAAGGAATATAGACATTAGAAAACTGAACTTTAGGCAGAAAATACTTCTCAATTATAGTGTAATTATTCATGAAATAACTTAAGAATGTGGAATCCAGTTTTAATTATTTGAATAATTTATTAAAAGGGTTATGATTACATTAAACAATTCAAGATCTTTTTGTATAAATACATTACATGAGTTGAGGAATAGGATTAGCTGCTACTCTCCAAATTTAAGTTGATTTAGATTGCAAAATAAATATGGAGAATGGCTTTCCCTAAAATATTATGTAGAACAGAGAAAATAATGTTTTCACTAGTTGTTCTCAATAACTATGAAATATAGCCTTTAAGTCACAGTGAATGAAGTAGAACTATTGTTGCGATTTAAGGATAATATTTTGCAATACTTATAGATATTATTCTAATATAACGGTGTGCATAAGAGATGCTACTGTAAGAGGATCACTTGGGAATAAGAATATTTTTTTAAAGTCTTTTTGGTATAAAGCTGGATGTTGTCTTATTTGTTGAATTTTTCTCAAATGTCTCACCACTTATCACATTTGTAAACACTTTGCTTTGACAACAAAATTAGATGATAATAGTAAAATTGATGTTTTCTTTATAGATATTGAAGCACAGATTCGAGAAATTCAAGGAAAAAAGGCTGCCCTTGATGAAGCGCAGGGAGTAGGCCTTGATTCCACAGGATACTATGATCAAGAGATTTATGGTGGCAGTGACAGCAGGTTTGCTGGATATGTGACTTCTATTGCAGCAACTGAACTAGAAGATGTAAGTAAAACATATTCTTTGATTTAAGGAAAGCAGTCAAAACAATCCAGATCTCAATTTTGGTTCTCTGAGCAGTTATAAATTATTCACATAAATAAATAAAAACTAACAGCTTTCTTCACAGATTGAAATGTTAAGATTCAAATATTCAAACTAAGTAAAATTGAAAAAATTGACATACATTCTAATAGTAAAATGAGAAAAGATTGTCTTTTTGATAGTATTTAATTTTTTCTACAATGTCCTTAAGTAAAAGACTGTCAGAACATTGAGTCTTAATGCTTACACTGTTTAAACAAATATTTTACATCTTATCCAAAATTCTATTTGTGCGAATAGTCACCAAATGCTTGTTATGTCTTCTGACTATAAAGATGTAGAACATGTATTTCAGTAACCTGGGTATACCCTTTAAAAAAATATATCGGGTACGGGGCAAGAGTAAACTAAACTAAACAAAATTAAGCTGACACTTCTAATTCAAAAGTTGGTTATGTAGTAAGTATTTTGATAGTTGCTTACATTTTTTTGTTTATTAGCTGTTATTAGAACAGGTAAAAAACTAGACATGTCAATGGTTAACCAGTGGCCCAGTTGGGCTGGAGCGGTCCCCCCTCCGACAGCAGGGGCCTGTTCCAGTCCAGCCAGGCTTGCCATGCTACACAATGCGCAGTGGGTGCCCCAGCCCGCCTGGGCTGCTTTTTACTCGCATGTAGTGCAGCGCAGTGGGTCCAGCCGGAGCAGCGCCCGTCTGAGGTGGGCCCGACTTGGCCAGTGTAGCCCCCTATTTGCCCCCATTTAAGCAGTTAACTGGTTAAGCACAACATTTAACCATATTCCTGATTAAGTGGGATTTTACGTCCTTATCAAAAACACAAGCCTCCCACAAAGGCAGCGGCGGGGCAGGTGGGAGCCAGTTCTCGAGGGGAAAATCGGCTTTTGGCACCAGCTCCACAGAGCCGCCTCCACCCCTCACGCTCCTGCCTCTGTATTAGAGGAAGAAGCACGGGGCACAGGGGGAGGCTGCTGCGGAGCAGCCTCTGTCTGGAGGGAGCTCGGGCCCACATGCGGACGGGGCTGTTGCTGCCCAACCCTCTGCCTCTGTATAGGTACTTTCCACATGAGAAGCTCTAATAATATTTTGTTTAGAATTGCATTTGTGATTCAACAGCTGTTGAGTTGGCATTTTCTTTGTAAGTTTCTGGTTCCTTTCACTCTACCCTAACCTCCCAGGTTTCACATCAGAATTCTTTCCTGAAACTGTAATTCACGTAGCCATTTTATTTTCAAAACTTCTGATTGAATTGCTTTACTAGGGATTATGTAGAGTGGAGACTCTTATTAGCTATAGTACATGTATCTGGCATCTTAAGTTGCCAACAATTGGTGCCAGAGATTATCTGGCACTTCTATTTAATAACTATAGGCAGTGTACTTCACACTTGACACTACATGTTAGAACATTTGATGTCTGCACCTTGGTAAGCTATATTTTTATAATGTGGGTAGCATCAGTTGAGCAGCAGTTTATTTTTTCGGAGTAAAACTACCTTTATAGGAAGGGGAATAAATTGTAGAGTAAATGTGCCTGGTTCTATTTCGATACAATAGACATCTGTAGCCATAAAATATAAATTATGCAACATTCAGTTCAAAATAAATAATTTTATCTTTCTGAATATTTTTGTTTTGACAGGATGATGACGACTACTCCTCTACAAGTTTGCTTGGCCAGAAGAAGCCGGGGTACCATGCTCCTGTGGCATTACTTAATGATATACCACAGTCAACTGAACAGGTGAAAATTTTTTAATTTGAATATGAAACAAGTTATTTTAGTTGTTTTTGTGTGAGTTTTTGGGTTTAGTAAAACATTGTACAATATAGTACCAATTTATCGTTGTTCCTATAGTTTTTATGTTCCATATTTTAAAGATAATATCCTATAGACTTTAATACCCTGTCACGGGGCTGATGTGCCCCATCCCCACTTGGAGTGGGGAGGGGGTATTTGTGCTCCCCGTGGTCACGCCATCACATCTGGGACTAGGAATATTAATGGTTAACCAGTAAGCCTCACCCTTAATGGGTGAAACTTACTGGTTACGGTTAACTTGTTGGGGCTGGAGCAGGCCCCTTGAACCCCACCCAAATCAGTTTAATAGGTTAATTGGTTAAACTTAACATTTAATCAATTAACTAATTAAACAGGGTTTTAGATCCCTGTACAGGACACTGCAGCCTAATGGCCTAAGTCCATTTCTACTGTCTGCCTTTAAGGCAGCGTGGCCCAATGGCCAGAGTCAGTTATAGCAGCCCTTTTTCCCCCAAGGTCCTAACAGCAGTGAGGTGGACCACTACAGGGTCAATAGGGAATTGAACTCAGTCGGGTGGGAGGTATCACTCTTTTGCCCCTCTCTGAATCACTTCCTTCCCTGTGTCTTGAGGCTGCCATTCATGGGCTATTGGGGTCACTGGGCTCATCCATGAAGTGGACCCTTAGTTCTCTCTGGGCTTCATGGGCACTTAAGATTTCCTGGCCAAGATATCAGCAGTTCTTTTGAAGGAGCCTCTGCCACATGTCTTTTCTCTCTGGCCATCTGCCCACTCTGAATGAGCTGAGCTACTGCCTTTTATATCTGGTCCATCATTGGAGCATGCCCAGGAAGGCCATTGGAATGTGGCCTCCTCAGCCCAAAGTGTAGGATTAACTATCTAAGTACCAGTGGGGGGTGATGTGCCCTGTCACACAGACATTTGGAAAAATACATTAGCTCTTTAACTATGAAAGTCATAATTTTATGAATGACAGCTCCTAGCTAGCTCCAGCACAGCATTAGTGAAAAGTCTGATTACTAAAACAGAGTTACGTGCTTGAAAACATCTTTATAAAGAAGAGGAAAAAATAGTTAAGTAAAAGAGAAGTTCATTAAAAAGCATGGTAATGTGGTTTAGTCAGGAGTGTCTGCTGGACAGAAATTCATTGGTAAGAATCAACTTTTCCAATTATAAAGGGTAATTTCCCCATAGTTTTACTGTTCATATGTTTTATGATTTGAGACTGTAAAATGAATCCTAACCTATGCAACATTACTGGAAACCCCCATGAGTTTACCTTTCTCCCACTCATGTCTTTCATATTGCTATTTTATATAGTGGACTAATGTAAAATATTCCTTTCTTTAAGTATGATCCCTTTGCTGAACATCGTCCACAGAAGATTGCAGATCGAGAAGATGAATATAAAAAGCACAGGCGGATGATGATTATTTCTCCTGAGCGTCTTGATCCTTTTGCAGATGGTAATTGGTTTCACTTTTTTATAGATCTTATCAAGTTCGTTGTCTTAAATTGTCTTTAGCCCTTTGATTTCTTTTGGCATGCTTATGATCTTAGTTTTGTTTTAAACATCCCCTTTTTATATAGATTTTTATAGATTTGGTTGAAATCACAGATGTCATATTTTTCATCTTTATAACACAAGTTTTCTTTCTAGGTAGAAGGACAAGAAAATAATGAGCCCATTGCCATAGACACACAAAGGGTTGAAGGTTTCTCTTTTCATTTTGTTTTGGGTTGTGTACTGTACATTGAACAATTTATATATTTTGTGCTCAAAATAAATGTACTTTGAGTACATGGAAAATTTTCATTCCAAATCATAGATTTACAGGATTATAGCTTTTTGAAATGCTAATTCTCAAAATAGAGCACCTAATTCTTACCATCTTATATTAATGCAGGTAGTATAGCTAAGTGAAACAAAAAGCATAGAAAGAGACATTGATACTTTTTTAATAGTGCAAGTCTGTTCTGCTAATTTTAGTATGCAAGTCAGCACAAGGGGCATAGTGGGCCTGATGGAAGCTTTCCTTGGGTGAGTGAGTTTCACAGGTGAAAATAAGGCGCCTGTTTGCTTAAAATTAGAATCTGTTGCAGGTTTTACAAATTAGAATTTCAGCCTGCATGAATTAATAGGGATATTAATTATTTTACTTGCTTAATTGTAATAATTGATATAAACATGTTTTGTCAGAATTCACAGGCCCATACTAACTGTCCTTAATTTCTTTCCTACAGCAGTACTGCTATATGCCAGTCCTGTCTGCATTCTTAAGGGTGCAGTTCAACACATCCTGTGTAAATTATGGTGAAAAAGTATTCCAAAGGAAAGTCCTATCAAAGCTAGTGTCAGAATGACACTGCCAATTGGGCAATGATCTTCAGCATAGAAAATGTTTAAGAATTTTATTTTTCCTAAATTGTAATGCTATACTGCTTGTATAGCAAATTTGCACATTTTTTTTAGAATAGTGTGTCCATAAGTCTCATTTTTATATACTTGGGCTTCCGTTAAGTATTTACAAGTTAAAATAAATACTCAAGATACACCGAATAAAACATGGTATACACAAATCTTTTTACCTGTGAGTATCATTGTGGTGGTAAATATAGTGTATTACAACTAGCTCCCAATTGTAATTGTACCTTCAGAAGAAAAGAGGGTCAAATAATATAATTTCCCTCTTTTATCATATAAAAAATGAAGCCCTTCTACAGTATGACTCCTCAAAATAAAGGACAAGAGGGTTTTTTTTTGTCCAGATTTGTCAAATGTATAAACTGGTCTTTATGCTGAAACATTTTGAATCATTATCTAGGTATACAGTAGTTATTCGTAGTCAGATAACAAGTAGGTTTTAACAGCTTACACAAGGTAATGTTTTGAATATAAATATCTTTCCAAAGTGTTACTAATGGTAAAGAGATAATTTTCTAGGCTTCTATTCTGCTGCTTGAAGTCAGAACTGCTGATGGACACAAAGGCACGAAAGTGTACGTATTCCGGATTAGCAACCCAGGAACCCATCACTTCTGAAGACTCTTAACTGTGTTGTCATTTTATCATTTTTATCTGCTTTAAACTATTTGTTTTAAACTGCAGTAGTTATGTTTGTGTTCAAACAGGTTAAATTGATCAACAAACTGAATAAACGTAAGATACGTGTAATTTTTAAAAAAATTCAATCAAAAAAGTAAAATTAAGTGATTCTGGAATAATATAATAGTAGAGCAGGACAATGAAAAAAGCAGATATTTTTGAGTATCCCGTACTTACTGTATTCCTGTACTGTTGCTGTTCTCTTCTGCAGGAGGGAAGACACCTGATCCTAAAATGAATGCCAGAACATATATGGATGTTATGCGGGAACAGCATTTAACAAAAGAGGAGGTCTGTTATCTTTTTTTATCTGAGCTTAATGCTCTCTTTGTTTTGTCTTCAATTTTTAAAGGAGCCTAGGTGAGTTAGATGCCTTAGGCTCCTTTGAAATCTAGTCATCCTGTGTAAATGTTTGCTACTTGTGTAAATACTGCATTTGTTGGAAAGTAGGGGTGTTAACATAAATTTATGCAGGTAAATGTGTAACCACTTAAAAGCCAGCTCCTCATGTGTGCCAGCACCCATACAGAGGCAGCCAGGGTGGGGAGAGCAAGTACAGATTGGACCTCCCTGGTCAGGCACCCTTGGGACCTGTCTGGTCTCAAATAAGGGATTTTGCCAGACCAGGGGTGGTCATTTCTGCCCCCTACCCCCCCGCCCGACCTCTAGCCCAGGCCCGACTGCTGCCCTCCCAGCTGGCTCCCCCCTCTTGCTGTCCCCACTCCCCTATCAGCTCTTGTTGCCTTATCAGGTAGCTCTGCCGTTTCTACTTGCCAGGCTCTCATTGCTGTTCCAGGCAGCCCCACCGCCTGTACATGCACCAGGCTCCTCCAGGCAGCCCTGCTGTCTCTGTGCACCGGGTTACAACCTGTAGTCAAGTCCTCGTCGACTCACTTACATCCCTACTTTTGAGGAGGATTTCAATGGTTGGGCTTCACACCTTATATTTACTGTATCGTGCTCCCCTCCTCCCCTCTTTGGGTTGGTTTCTGCTTTCAAAGTACACAGCCATCTGTAAAAGAAATAGCCTACTATGGCTCCTCTTTGGATGCTGTGTCGGATTTTAATTAGTAGTATGTTTTGTTTCCATTTTTTACCCCTTTTTATATACACTGCATGTTTCACAGGAATGCACACTTGTTCTTCAAGTGTTTGCTTATGTCCATTCCACTTAGGAGTGCACATGCTGCATGCACGGATTTTGGAACTTTTTCTCTTAGCAGTACCTGTTGAGCCAGCCAGGGAGCCCCTGAAGTGGCATCCGGCACATCTATATCCCTGCTAGCCCCTCAACCCCTCAGTTTCTTCTCACCACCTGCCCATGACAGTAACTGGAGCATTGTCAAGACTGATAGGCTTTACCCTTAGGCTGTATATAGTTCTTTAGATCTTTTATGTGCTGTGTTTCTCAGTTACTCAGTACCTCATTAGTTGCTGGAAATAGTTTTACCTAAGAAGGGCTTCTCCCCTCTGGCCTTTCCCTGGCTGGGGAGGGCATGCCAGGGCTGCAGGGCTTCAAGCTGTGTGCATTGTGTTTGAAGCCTATGCCCTGCAGGGATGTGCATGGCTCTTGCTTGAAGTGTCTTAGGGAGGCCCATTGTACAGACAGCTGTAATACCTGCCAAAGCTTTAAACCGAGGACTAAAAGAGAGAGGGACTTGAGGCTCAAGTTGATCCTTATGGAGTCTGCTCTACAGCTGCCGGCTTCGGAGCAGGGCCAGTCGGTGCGCAGCACACTGTCCTCTGTGCGGGAGGCTTCTGCGGTGCCATCTAGGCACCAGACCACCTCGTCGAAGCCTTCCAGGCACCGGCCACAGTCCTAAGCACCAAGGAGAACCAAGGATGCCGGGGGGAGATCCCTGGTTATGGCCCAAAGGTGGGGGACTTGGCCTCAAAGGCACTCCGGGGTGTCCTGGTACCGCTCAGATGAAGACATGCCTCCACGCGGAGAGAAAGTCCAGTACCAGAAGGAACTATCGAAGAGCTCCGCCAGCCATTGACACCGGAGACCTTTGATGAGACATGGGAGTTCATTGAACTGACCTCCCCGGAGGCAGGGGCCTCGGCACCACAGATACCAAGGCTACCATCTCCGGTACCGCAAACAACTCCGTTTCCTGATCCAGCATAGACGCAGCCACCGAGCCATTGGGTGGCACCAGCGCTGGCACCCATTGTGACATGGGCACCAATACTACCACCGGTGCCGACACCTGCACCAGCCCCATTGCCTACGTCGGTACTGTCACAAGCGGGCACTGTTGCATGGGTGATCAGTCCATACAACAGTCCCGTAGGCGGGGCTTATACGGAACAACAAATTCACAGCAGACAAAATATGCCTTTAACAAACTTTATTGCAAGCAATTAAGAAGCAGTTCAAAAGCAAGGTTTAAGTTTAGTAGTTAGCAATTAGAGAGAAGGTCAAAAGCAGAACTTAACTTAAATAGTTAAGTCTAATTCTTAATCCAGTTTTGATACACACACTCATAAGCACATATCACTTATTCTCAGGGGCTGGCCAAACCCCAGGTAATGTTGGTTAATTTGGTTTGAGGCCAAAGTCCGAAGTGCACATCACCGCAATATGCCAATGGACTCCAACCTGTGTGGCAAATTGGTGGGGTATATATCCCCTCGGCAAGGGACAGTTTGAGCGGGGGTGATGTCCAATGATCTCACTACCTGCGGGTGTGCTTACGACTGATCTTGGAACATCCTGCTTACAACACCCAATTTTGCTTGCCTAGCTACAAGCGATAAGCAACGGAATGTCCTTGGTCGAGTTCTTTCCTCGCTGACTCCTCTTACTTGGGAACTTTGCCTCCTTTGTGCAGTTTTGCTTCTCTCAGCACACACAGTCTTTTTCTCAAAGTGATAAACAAGTCCATAATTCCCTAGGATGGCCTCTCTTCAGCTCACTTACTGTTAATTCACTCATGCCAACCCGTCACACTACCCATCATTTCAGACCGTATTGGCCCTATACAGTCACCGGCCCCGGCTCCAATACTGACTCCGGCACCGGCAGCTATAGTGCAGCCAGCACCCATGTTCCTGTGGACGGCATTGGGAGGCCCCGCTTTGCAGACTGCTTTTGTGCCGCCAGTGTATGAGTCCTTCCAGCCAACACGCTTGGCACCAGCATACGTGGCCCCAGTGCACAGAGAGAAGTCAACAGCCATGGCCCAGCACCAGCGAGAGCAGGCATCAGCAACCCCTCCATGGTCAGCCTCTAATTATTCATCAGAGTTGGAGGCCGAGTCCACGTGCTCGGTGTAGTCCTCTTATAGATCAAGGTCCTGGCATCGCTCCCGCTCTGAGCATAGATCACAATGCAGGAGCCCTTCGAACACGCACACTTGGCCACCCCAATGGCAGTGGTCACTCTGGACTCTGTGGGCATACCACCAAGCCCAAGGACCACCTCCCCTGAGGTTGGTGTCAGGGTCCTTGCATCAGGGGAGCATCCTCATGGCGACCCTCCTTCATAGAGCCCCCCGTCAGAGGCGAGACACCCTGGGGCCAAGGACCTGGTACAACCCTCTGTGATAGGGGAAGGTACAGGAACCGTGGTACCCCAGCCAGTGTGTGGCCAGATGGCACCTCCAGTGACAGCAGCGTCACAGGCCACGGAATCGATGGAGGAACAGCCAGGGGCGAGGAGTCATCCTCCTCCTTGCTGGACGAGACCTTAGGGGACCCGGCCTTGCCACTTCCATCAATGGACGCTAGAGCTCATCAGGATCTCCTGAGGAGACTGGCTGCTAACCTGGGTGTCCAAGCAGAGGAGGTTCAGGAAGACTCTGACCCCATGGTTGACATCCTTTCTGCGGCCACTCTGGGTAAAGTGGCGTTAGCACTCAATAAAACGGTGGACAAGTTGTCCAAAACCCTGTGGCAAACTCCAGCTTCAATCCCTCCCACACAAAAGGGGATGGAGAGGCGCTGTTTTGTCCCCCAAGTGGATCGCAAACACCTCTTCACACACCCTTCTCCCAGCTCAGTAGTTGTGCAGGCCGTGGGGCAGAAAGAGCACCAGGGACCCCCAGGACCTACTCCTCAATTTAAGAAGCCCAAGAAACTTGATCTCCTGGGACGAAAGGCCTACGCCATGGGGGGTCTTCAGCTCCGCGTAGCCAACCAGCGGGTGATGCTGGGTACATATGCCTACATTACATGGGCAGCCATGGACCGCTTCAAAGACCATCTCCCACAAGAGTTGCAGCAAGAGTTTGGGGCTCTAACAGAGGAAGGCAGAGCAGTGGCGTGAACAGCATTACAGGCAGCCCTGGATGCTGCCAATTCAGCGGCTTGCATAATGGTCACTGCTATACTAATGAGGAGGAGCATGTGGTTCCAAATCCCGGGCATCCCTTTGGAGGTGCAGAATACGCTACAGGACCTCCCCTTCAAGGGGGCGGTGGGCCTGTTCTCAGACTAGACAGATTCAAAGCTGCACAGCCTTAAGGACTCCAGAGCAACTCGGAGGTCCCTGGGGATCCACACCCCAGCTCCTCAGAGAAGGCCCATCAACCCCAGACCAAATGGGAGACCCTTCTAGCGTGGTTGCAGCTTGGACCAGGGTAGAAGAAGCCCTAATAATGGCCGGAATGACCCTCCTAGGAACAGGCGCAGGGGCTCAAGATCCAACTCGGATAGAGATCTGCCCCACCTACGAGCTAGCAACCCAAACCTTCATTTTGAGGGTACAGCATAGCAGTCCATGCCTCCTTCACCCCCTTTTGATTGCCGTTCATCCCTTTTCTACCAGGCCTGGTCCTGAATAACATCCGACTGATGGGTCTTAGACCTAGTAGCGAAGGGTTACGTGATCCCCTTCCTTTCCATCCCCTCTTTTCATCCCTCCTCCCCGTCTCTCTTCAGGGACCCCTCTCACGAGATTCTGCTAAGACAGGAAGTGTCTACACTTCTCCAGCTTGGAGCAGTCGAGCCTGTTCCGGAAGAATTTAGGGGAAAGGGTTTCTACTCCCACTACTTCCTTATTCCCAAGGCAAAGGGGGGTTTACGCCCTATCTTAGATCTGAGAAACCTGAACTTGTTTGTAAAGAAAACAAAGTTCAGGATGGTCACCCTAGGTTCCATTATACCTTCCATACAGAAAGGAGACTGGTATGCTGCCCTTGATCTAAAGGACACATTTTCATATTGCAGTGATCCCCACTCACAGGAAGTTTCTCATATTCACGGTAGGGCAGGATCATTTTCAGTTGGCAGTCCTGCCATTTACCAAATGTATGGCTGCAGTAGCGGCTTTTATGAGGCATCTC